ACTAAGTAGAATCATAAAAAAAAAATCATCATAGTTACAAAACTAGAATGAATCTCTAAACAACTCTCCCCGCTTCTTGAATCCCAAAACTGCTGTAAAACATCAATGTTTGTGCCAATTCAAGTTTTAGTTAAATGTTGATTTCCACTGTCAGATATTACGAACATAGATCGGAATTTTTGCCGAACTAAATTTTGAGGTCAGTTTTTTCCGGTATTTTGAGGCATGGGTTTTTTCCTTCAGAAAATTAATAAGAATCATAAAAAATCCTCATAGTTGTCAATATAACGCCAGAATGAATCCCCAAACTGTCCTAATCGCTTCTTTAAAACTTCTGTATACATAAACCTCAATATTTGTAGAAAAGCTATGGCTTCAAATATTTCTTCACTGAGTTATGATATTTTTGTTTCAGAGCTTGGAACATCATGATAGTATAGAAAACACTGTGCGAAATTTGATTTAGAGGATTTGTTACCAGATTCACAAACAGTTACATAACGCAACATAAACAGTCATAACAGTGAATAAAAATTTTAGTTAACTAACAAATACTTTTGAAAAACTAGCCTTATATATCAAGCTTTATGATGATATAGTTAAAACCAAAGTAGCATCTTTCTTCGTCAAGCTCAAATAAGACTCGCATGATTTATTTGACGCATGGTGTTCAATACTAAATAAAATTATTCAATACAAATTTGTAATATTTATTAAGTTTTCATGGCTGCTGTAGTTTTCACAATGCTGGCAATTTTTTTTACAATATCGATTTAACAATTCAATTTATAGAGTCACATCTATATTGTTACGGTTACTGAAAATCTATAAACTTTTGTGTTCAGTTTAAAAAAACGGCAATATTTTAACACGTCTTTACAAATTTAAGTTACAAAGAAATTTTATTGCGAAATATAGTTTTAAAATGGTTCGAAAAACTTGATAATAGCTAAATAGAAAACACTCGCGTAACTTAGTATCGATTGTATTTTCTGTATTGTATTTTCTGCTTCTGACTTACATTGAAATCTGATTCCGCCGTACCTTCTTGAATTAAAACGATTAGTTTATTAAGGTGGATTTTAAATTAGTATGATTAATTTCATCCACTTAGTGAGTAAAGTGGTTTGCGAGCAAAATGCACAATGCACTGCGCAACAATGCATTTAAATTAAAATTATTAAAAAATAATAGTTTTTAAAACTTGTCCCTTTCAACTTAGATTAGAAAATTTTATTTTGTTAAATCTATTTTATACTATCATGATCTTGACAATATTTCTCGTAACTACGCATTTTGAGGAATTTAAATACTAAATTATAAACTAAAGTTCGTAAGCAACTAATTTTTCGCGTACTTAATCTCTAACACCTTATTTTTATTTCAAATATAAATTCCAAAGGATTTATTTCGTAGCACAATAACTCTGACATGTAAGCATGTGGAGAAAATGTTCATTTAAAGTATTCGCTGCAAAAAATTCCGGAACAAATTTCAAAAACAAAAAAAAAAAAAAAAAAAAAAAAAAAAAAAAACCTGCCGGATACCATTATTTTTAACCATAAAATTCATTTATGCCGGAACATGTTACGGAACAAAAAAAATCTGATTCGTAGTTCTTTAAGTAATGATTACCATAAAATAGCTGAATCACTCTAATAAAATAATTACAGTTAAAATTACGGTATAATATTTTATGGAAAAAATGAATTATACCGCAAAGTGGTCTTTTAATAATGTTGTTCTAAATAATGCTCCCAAAGTGGCGGTTATTTATACCATAATTGAGCCGGAATTTTTTGCATTGTACTCGAAAAGGAATGTTTCGTACCTCGATTCCTTTAATGTTTTTATGGTTATTTACTTACAGCATATTCACCGTACTGACAATAAAAAGCTAAATGCGAAAGAAATTGGCACTTTTAATCAAACAATTCGATGGAACAACGAATTTTATTTCATATACTTATCGACATGCGTAGAATGGGATTAACGTTTTCCTCTCAAATCAATCGAAAATATCTATATTTAAACTAAATTTAAAAATACCTATATTTCTTGTTCACGGTATCCAAATGATGATATGGTTCTTAGCAATCATCATTAAAGCTGATTTAATTCAATTTTTTGCATTTCCTAAAATAGAGCTATACACATTGTGTCAATGCAACTACTTAAAATATGGTTTGAATTCTAAAATTAAAAGTTATAATGTGTTTTTCTGCATGGAAGTTGAAACAGTTATTAGATACTTCAGTAGTTTTATTTATTTACGGTATTATATTACATCATCTAAAAGTAAGCCGAACTTATTGCTTTAAACATCAAACAGTGCTATATAATTTCCGATTAGTTATTGTAGAAAGTTTGCCATTTCGATTTTGAGCTTTAAGAAAAAACATAAATGAATCAGCTCATTATACGTTTCTCTTCTCAAAAAACACAAGCCGAATTTACCTCCTGAGCTCATAGCTTGAACACTACTTTCCTTACGTAATAAGTTTGAGAAAAATGGCCTTGTAAAAAATTATTTTCTTAGTAAATGATCTCCTTATGCAATAATACAGTAAAAGTTTGGACTCCTACTGTCTAATGTATTCCATAATCAGTTTTACGAGAAGAACTCTTCTTTAGTTTAGAGGCGGGTTACAATCAGCATTTTGTCTTTTCTATTCGTAAAATGAAAAGAAGTACCGATCCCTGTTTTTGATGTAAAATATTTGGGCATCTTTCATTTTCCCCCGTATCTATTAGATGCATGTTTTTCTTTGACTGGACGTTAGTATGTTACTTTGAGAAAACTACACATTTTATGGAAGAAAAAAAATATTTTACATTTAATAATTGTTTGACTTGATTATTTGTGTTTAATCATATATTTTACGAGAATCTTTATATCTTATCTTTGTAGAAACTATATTCCTTATTATTTATCTCTACAACATTAGTACAGTACACTGAGAAAAAAGTATAGTCGAGGCTAACGGAATATGGTAATATTTACCGTGTTTCTGGCTCTGTAGGAAAAACAAGTAGCTAGGTACTTTTTAACGAAGCTGTTTAGGAACAATTTTAGTAAAACTAACGCTAAAATATGGTCTCCTAATATGTGATAAAATTTGGTAAATATGGTAAAATTTGGTAAATGCGGTAAAATTTGGCAATTTTATTATGATACTCTAGAGCATGACTTAAGAATCATTTATTTGGTTAAATCTACTTCTTAGTTTTGTATTTTTCATTAAATGTGTGGTAATAAGAACTATAATTTTGAAAGCTGGAATATCCGGCAAACTGTTAACATGTAAACTGAAAAGGCTACTTAGAAAAACAAAGCAGGTTAAACTTTATTTGAAAAATTAGACAAAAACAATATATATATATATACAATATATATATTGAATATACAATATATATATATATATATATAAACCTNATATATATTAAATATACAACAATTACAAATGCTTGTACAGAAGATGAGCAATTTTTACAATAGTTGTGTGTTTCTGTGATACAAGAAGTCACGTTTCTTTGTTTATGTTGCAATATTTATTATTAATTACTTTGCTTTATAGAGATGATACTGTATTAAGGAAAAGTAGTTTAAAAACTTTGTGCTTCGCTATATGGTTATCCACATTCACTCAACAAACACTGCGCGTGATATTTTCCGCCCAAGCCATAGAATTTTAGTTCCGAAACGATTTTTTAGATAATTTGGCTTCTCTTTTTTGACTTGCATCATATTTGTTTGCAGGGGGGGGGGCAGCTACAATTATGATATAGGATTCCTAAAATTTTGTAGATTGGGATTCCTATGGTTTCCATGGTTGGGATTCCATGGTTTGGGATTCCCATGTTAGTTTTATATTCTGCGGTTGTGTTGAAACTTTAGAGCAAATTACGCAAACTAAAACACTTTTCTATACAGCAATATAAATCATTTACTCCAAAAAAAAATCTTCCCTTAAACTACCCTACTATTTCCCCCTACTAAACTAAAAAGTCGTCCAAAATTTGTTTTATATGGTATAGATATTTTTCAGTAGCGCATTAAAGTATGTATTTTTATAAGGAAAGGAAAATCCTAATAGAATTGGTTCCAATTTAAAAAATCTCATTAGTACTTAAAAAAAACTGTTTGAATAAATATTGCTTTGGTAATATTTGACTGCGTTAATGCAAAGTTTGGAAGCCGCAAAAACTTAAACACATCAAAATAAGTGCATTTATAGAGTGATATTACGCTTTATTTTTAAAGTTGTTTCTTTACCATCGGGCAATAGTTTAAAAGCTATTCCTTAGAAATATCAATATGTTTTGTAACGACAAACTACCGAATTTTTTTTTACATTCCTTAAAACATTTTCTAAGTTCTGAAGAAATATAGAGCTTATCTTATAATAAGTAGACGTGAATAAAACACACGTCGATCGCTACACGTCTTCAAATAAAACTTTTTTCATTACTTACGTTGTTTTTGATTTAGCTTGTTTTTGTAATATTTCGAGTCATTTCAATCAAACGTATTATTTCTTTATTACTGATTTCTTAGCAACTGACTTCATATTTGTCGTGTTTTTCTGTAATGTATATTAATTGCCTTTTACTCTGCAGAATTCCATCTATTGGTTTAAAAGTTAAAAAGCAATAAATAAAAAGAATTGGAAATGCTTATACTTAAATATAAATATTATATTTAAACACATTGTTGAAGAATGATTTTTATTAGATGATTAATTACAATCATAATAAATATATAAACACGACATCAAAAGTATAAATAAAGTGTAAAATAATTAAATAAAGGTATGATTAATTTTTAATAAAATTGCGTCACTCAACTGCCACCTATCTGAGTTATAATTTCATTAAAAAAAGAATTAACTTATAATGTGCTTTTTTTACAAAAATATTACACTAACATTTGAACTCGAAGTGCATTTTAAAGAAAGAGCGAGTATAGTATCAACAATATTGATACACACTGAAGAAAATTATCCTAGAAAACGTTGGTGATTCCTCCATCAATAGGCATTCTGATTCCAGTAATTAAGGACGCATAGTCACTCAATAAGAACAGGATCGGGTAGGCTACGTCATCAACCTCTGGAAACAGAAAAAAAGATACATGTGTTTTGTTACCGCAAAATTGAATTATTAGAAAGAAAATATTTCATCTCTGTTTAAAACCCGAAACATTAACTCAATGAGTACAATCATTTAAAAAGATGCAGCAGTGCTATGAGAAAGGAAAAGCTCTTTAGCAATTTTATCTCAAGAAATAATTTCAATTTTTACAAGTTTGGTACACAGATTGTTTGACTTACAACTGAATTAGTATTTCTAAAAAACCACTCAATTAGTTATCTTTTCATTTAAGGCCTTCATTAGGCATTTAATAAATCATGTTATGTTGAGTGATTGAGTATGCATGCCAGGCTCTTTAAAATCCCAGACTCTCGACCGTTTGATATTCAAAAACCACTTGATATCTTACTAAATGACCACATGCACTAAAATGAGTCAAAGTTAATATTGGGAAAGGCCTATGTTCGTTGTAAATAAAATAGACGTCTCAGGGTTAAGTAATTTCTTCATCTCCACACTTTTTATCTCATGGTTTCGGTAAATCTTGCTTTTTTTCCACGGCAGTACGTGATAGTAAGAAGTTGGGATAAACAGTCGTTGAGAAAAAGTAAGATTTCTAGAAAACAATGAAACGGAGAGGGGAAAGTGAGGAGGGTGGTGAAACCACGTAACCTTAAGACTCCAATTCTATTCACAAAGCATGCGTGACAAATTATTATAATGCATGACAAATACTTTAGTTACGTTCGCCATTTAAGAAAGTAATAAAAGAATGATAAGTAAAATAAAATATCACACATTAAATATATTATCTCACTCCAATATTATAAAAAGGAAAAAATAGTCTTATCATAGTTTCTGAAAGGGAACTGATGAGAGACAATCAATTCACGTGAAGTTGCATTTTTCCTTCCTACTCAATGAAAAATATTGACATATAATTATTTGCAAGACAAACACTGCCCTAAAATAATGGAAGAGATAATTTCACTTTTTGAAATTTCTCAAGAAATACTCAGAGGATTATTTTATAACTTTAGAGTTGTTTAGTTCATGTGATTTTTCATACTTTTCAATAAAGTTTAAAGTTTTCAGAGGTTTGAGGGCTGATGATAAATTACGAAGGAAAATTAGTGATTTTAAACACCCTGTGCCAGAAAATCAAGCAATAAGCTTGTTATAAGCTTGTTACAACTGATGAAAATTTTGTAATTCTAGCTTAAATATTTATAGAGATATGAACACTTTTATCAAAAAGAACTAATTTTTTGTCTTACGTTTTTTTATTTTTTTGCTATAACTTCAAAAATATTCAGTAAAGTTAAAATAATTTTTGGAGCAATTTAAAAATTTAAAAAAAATTCGTTTCTAAAGATATGAGTATTTAAAAGAATTTTTTTTTAATACTGCGCATGAGGGAAAAATAAATATTTTTTTTCTTAATTTTGTTACGAATCATATTTGGAAACTAATGAAAAAAAGTCTTATTTGAATATCTTATTGACGTAAAAAGTTTCGAGCAATTTTCTATGTAGTTTTTGTACTATTAAAAATAAAGCTCAAAATGATCAGGGGTTTTCCAGAAATTTTTCTTGCTGCCCGGTTACAAGAAAGGTAGAGTCATTTGCAATACTACATAATTTGGTCGTGAGTTCGAAAACTCCCCGTGTAGTAAATGGTAATTGGTGCACGTTGAATCAGTTGGATCATAAAGCCCTCCAAGTTCCCATAGTAAATCCATACCTCTGAATGTACTGAATTTGAGATTGATTGTTTTTAGATTCAGGTAAAAATTACTATTGAATGGATTATCATTGGCATCAAAATTAAGAATTAGATGAGTGAATGGATGTATGAATGGATCCGCCTTTTAAAACAGACTGTGACGTGTGTGGCTAAAGTTGTATTTTTGGCCATAGATGGCATCGCAGAAAAACAAAAAAATGCACCCTCTGCCTAAAAATTCGCATGGTTTCACCAAATAGGCTTGCTGGTATTGGCAACTGGCATTAGAAACAAAAACACTGTTTCATGCTTAATGAAGACAAGGTCAGATATTTTGGCAAGTAGAAATTATAATTTACCCACTCTTAGAGGTCCAGTTAAAACGTTTTTGCTTATTAACAAAAATGTTATTTTGTAATAAATTAATCACAAAATAACATGTTATTTTCCTACCTCCTAATCTCTTTAGTGGTGTCCTTTCTGCTAATGTCTTTCCCATTTCATTACCTTCTTCAAATACTTGAGCTGCCATGTTCGTGCGTATAGCCGTTGGATTTACAACATTCACTCTGATCTATAGAAAGAAGCATTTGTATAAAAAGCAGAGTGTTTTATATTTAAATGTATGCTAAATTAAATGATGTGATAGGATACATCTTACATTGTGAGGGCCATACTCGGTTGCCATACATCTTGTTAGTTGATCTACAGCACTTTTGCTTGAGCCATATATGCCGACACTACCCATGCATTTAAAACTTCCTATGCTGGATACATTTACAATGGATCCACCTACTCCTCGCTCTTTCATGCCATTCACAACAATCTAAAATAGATAGTTTTAAATAGATCATTTTAGCTGATAATTGAAGCTTATTTACTGCAACAATTTACTTTTTTGGGTTAAATAACTATTTTTTCCCGCTATATAAATTTTAAAATACTTCAATAGGAGTATTTTACTATATATTAAAAACTCATAAATACCCTGAGAAAAAAAATGTAGTCAAAACTATCAGAATATGGTAATATTTACAGTATTTCTGGCTCTTCTGACACCAAAAAGCATGGTTATTTTTACCGAAGCACTTGGTACTGATTTTGGCTAAATTAATAATAAATTTGTTTTATAATATTTGTTAAAATTTGGTATATGTTGTAAAATGTCGTAGTTTTATCATGATTTTTCAGAGCATGGTATAGAAACCATTTATTTGATTAAATTAACTTTTCAGTTTTGTATTTTTACCAAATGTGAGGTAATAATAAATATAATTTTGAAACTCAGAAATTCTGATGAACTGTTACCATATGAAGGGTTTAAATACTGTATATTTTGGTTTCATTTTCAGAATTCTGTTTTTTTTTAACCAGAAATGTTTCTTCCATTCAGTGCTGCAAATTTAGCAAAATTTTTTCTCTTTGTATATTGTAATTTTATTGATCTATTTACATATATGACACCCGGTGGCTGAGCGGTAGCGCATCGCGCTGTCGTGCCAAAGGGTGCCAGGCCAGGCTGACTGTGCCAGGCAAGGCTGTCGTGCCTCGGGCCAGGCAAGGCTGACTCAGCCTTTCATCCCTTCAGTGGGTCGATAAATGAGTACCAAGCACGCTTGGGAACTAAACACTGGGGGTTCCGCGTTCGGCTGACCACCTGACCGGAACATCTGCTCCTGCACCTCAGAGGCCAAGGTCAAAAAAAATGAGATGGGCACAGTAGGCCTTGGCCCGCAAGGGCTGTAGTGTCGCCGAGTTTAGTTTTTTTTATTTACATATATTGTACTGCTTACTTGCATATTGTATTGATGTACTTACTTGTGTAATATTTATAACTGCTTTTAAATTTATGTTGTAGATTCTGCAAAACAAAAATATATATATTTGTAAATATTTTTCATATTTTCTATGAAGAAATTAAATCAGTTTCACAGACATAAGAATTAAATAGCATATTATGTCTATTTATCACTACATAGTAATAATTAAAAGGAATTTATGAAGAAAGGGAGAGTGATGCAGTTTCGGACAAATGCGTCCCCCAGAAGAAAAATTTGCGATCAGTATATGTTTTTGGTGTCTATATCAACAGGTACGTCAGCCAGGTTGATGACAATTTCAGTTTCTACAGACAATCGATTAAGAAATTGTTTTTGGTATTTTATTTACATAGTAATTATTTTAATGAATTTAATGGAGAAAAAAAACCAAAGTACGTATTTATGAAAATAGAATTTAGTTATAGAAATACCATTTCATTTTCAGTCAGATGAAACACGAAATTTTAAAAAAAAAAATTTTATAAAAAAATTTATGCTTGTTGCAAGTCGGAACAATATTGTTCTCTGAATCAATCAAAGGCATTTACAACAGGTGATTTTAAGTGATAGTAAGCAAAATAAATTTCTCTGAAATTTTTGCTACCTTCAATAAGTAAACTTTTTATGTATCAAATATGCCTAAATAATTTGAGATTCGAAATCATTATGAAATTTCTTTGAGTTATAGCGGATCAAGTACGGAGTTGTAAAAAATCTCTAGACCAAAATTACGGTTAAAAGTATTAATACTCAGGGTACCGATACTTTGAACAGTAAAATCTATTTTTACTGGAGCATAATACGGAACATAAAATCTGATATACCGTAATAATTACCGTAAAATCACTGTATCTCTCTAATACGGTATAATATTTTACTGCAAATTGAATTTTACAGTAAGTACAGGTCCTCTAAACTGTGGTTTAATCCTGAATTTCAGACAACGTAAAAGCAACTTGAAAACTTCATAAAAAATAAACTTTAAATACATTAATAACCAACTTCTATGAACTCAAAAATCTGGAAGAAAAGAACCAAAAATGAGTGCTATCCTAAGTGTAATATTCATAAGTCTAAAGATGCAACACCATGTTGCACATTTGACCAACTTTCCAAACTTTTTGATTTGCAGTGTAGCAGTATTCACTGACAAAACAATGATATTATTAATAGACAAACGAAAAGGTGTAACATTTTGAAGTTGATTAAAATATTAAATTTTACATAAAAGCCAAAAAATTAAGTTGAAAATTGAATCAAAGTAAACACTTCCCGTGCACCCGTATGATGAACCATAAAATGTCGCAGATTTGGAGATAAAACCGAAAGTCAATATTTTTGCTTTTTTGAGGTCATTAGTATAATATTTATATTTTAATGCCACCGAGTCATCGACTTTTAGTAAATTCTTAAATATTAAAATATTAGACCACAAACGCTTTTCATTTTCACAAAACTGTGGCTTTTCTCCAACTTGACGTTTTGCTCCATTTTCGAAATAAGAGTAGACAACGCTTAGTTTGATAGCTAAAGAGCTAAGATAGGCTAAACTTGAATGTGTTTTGGCTCTTTAATTGAACTTGATTATTGCAGATATTTTATTTCTAACTTACATTCAAAGGTTTTGGGAAATATATTTTTTGATAAAAATCTAAAGCTGAATGCTAAAGTAAAATTTTAAATTTGCCATCTCATTCGAATTTCTTAATTTTATCCAATATGGAACACAAGTTAATATGGCATTGAAGTTAAGTAGATTTTTTTTCTTAAGCATATCATATTTTTATCGTTTCTTATAACGTTCATATATAAAAATCCATACTCATCTACGTCCTCCTCAGTCATGTTCCCAAAATCTTTGTATTTCAATATCGCTGCATTATTTACCAATAGATCAATAGGTCCGATGCTTTCAATTGCAGCTGTTGTAGTTTCCCAATTTCTGATGTCCAAACATACCGTTTTTATATTCTTATTCTGAAACAAACGTTACTTTTAGACAAATACTTAATACGTTATTTAATATTTCTAAAAACCTTTGTACATTGAAATTAATTGTTAAATAGCAACTTACCTGACGATGTAGCATTGCTTATTTTTACTGTAGAATTAAAGATATTGTACTTACTATTGTTTGCAATTCATCCAAATCTGGCTGAGTGCGACTGATAGCTACGACTTCAGCACCACATTCAGCTAGTCTAGTAGTAACAGCTTTTCCGATACCTGCGCAAAAAAAACGGAAAGTAATTTATTACTCAGTTATTTCTTATAGTTTTATAATAAAATTCTTTTTAATACTAACGCGAAAATAATGAGTGTAATGGTTTTAGCTGTTTATCCAATACTAGTTCAAAATCAATTAAAGTAGAGCGACACTTAATTATTTTCTTCTAATTCAACAATAGTGTCTTGTGCAATACATTTGAAAAAAAAATGAAATTATGTCATAGAGTTATTTTATAGTTTTTAAACATGACCCTTTATGTATGTATGTTAGTGAAACTGTGAATTTGGTAATATTTCGTAGCGCAGAATACAGTATACAAAATTAGAAAAACGGAATACTTGAATAACTTTTGATCTAGTAATATAGTTTTTACCTTCTAAATTACAATCTTAATGCTTCAGAGGCCAAAATATGTTCATTAATTAGGCCAAATGATATTTTAATTTGCGAAATAAGACATAAGAACATACCTTATCCGAATAAAAGCATTTTTTTAAAAGGATGGGAATTTTTTCAAATTTCTACATCATACAGACTCCATAATTTTAGATTACGAAATTGGTCGAAAAGTTAACATAAAGAAAAAAATTACATTAAATGTGTTTTAAATTTTCATTTCTTGAGATTAAAATTACATACAGCAAGTCACCTAAATTTGGGAACCTGTAATCTTTTGAGTTATACTAATTTTGATTTTAGCAGTTAAAAATTTGAAAATTAGTTGATTGATTGTCATTGCGATTGCCTGGGGTAATAGGCAAAAATTGAGAGTTGGCTTTAAAAAATCAAATAGTTGCTATAATAGATGGTGACCATATTGATAGATAATGCCTCAAGAATAATATTTTAACAAATTCGAAGTTCGATACGACGTATTTATTAACTTCAAATTAATTGACATTCCAACTTATGTGGAGAAACGATTTTTACACGCCCTCTTGCACATAAACGATCAATTGACACTAAGATCATAGTTCATGTGTCTGTCTATCAGTAATCGTCTTTTTCTCGAGTTGCAGGTATAAATTGAGTTAAACAGAGGCAAATTAATAAATATAAAAATAAAAAGTAGAAAAGTGAATAAATATGAAAAACTATTTTTTTAAATGTACTGCATAAGTGTCTTCTGTTTTGGATCTGGAAAAAAATTAAATAGTCCTTTATTATAATGCTGATAATATTATATTAATTTATTTTTATGGACATTTATTTACAATTGCTTTCTGCAGCGATTCCATTTCGCTAAAAATCATGCTATGAGCCCGTGGTTGATAGTTTATCTATGCAGCAACAGTTAATTATCTAATTTAATAGGAAAAATTAGTGCAATATTATTTATAATAACAAGCCTGAGCACATTGTGAAAACTAGATGACAAAAAGTAATTAATTCATAAGGTAAAAATTATTTTCGCTTCAAAAATAACAATCTATTAGAGATAGCACCGAATTAAATTTCTTTTTTCGATATGTAACTCTAATATTTCGTTTCATAGGCATTTCTATATTAATCCTATCCTACCCATAATCCTACCGGTAGCAGAAAAGCTCCAGCAAGACAACGAGTCAGAATATATGTAGATACATTTTTATCTAAATCTTTTTCTTTTTTAAATATATTACTGATCCTGAGTTTGCTTTTCATCTCAGATTTAAAAAAAAAGCCCAAAATATTTCTCTGAGAAGTGACAAAAGAAATATTTTTAATTCCTAAATTTAGTCAATTACTATTTATTTTATGTCCTTCAACATATTTTAGCAACGATGCAGATGTGAAAGAAAACAGATGACTTTCAAAACTTCTGAGAAATAGAATGTTTAAAAAGACGAAAGGCTTAAAAATTTAACTCTTAATTTCCAAAAACATTAGTTGTTTATGGACTGCAAAAGGACTTATGCCTTTTTTTAAATTTCAATTATTCTCTGAGTCTATTGGTTTAAAAGTGTGAAATTTTTTTTCTTCAATAAAATAAAAAACTTTTGTCAATATTTTTTGTGTATAAATTATTATATATCTTACATGTGCTAATTTTGTTTACACACGTTAGATTAAGCATGGTTTTTACAATGATAACCACTGTGAGGGTAGCAGATAATTTTAGTTTTGCAATATATATTTTGCATCGATAATGATGCAAGCAGACTCAGTGATTTTTGCCATCGATCCCATCATTAAATTTATATTAGTCAATATATTCACCAACATATTACGGAGTGTCTTAGTAATCGCATTTCAGAGGAAATCCATAGCTCGGTGAGTAAATGTTTCTTCTTCAAATAATAAATTTACACTAACGTGTACAAGTCAAAAATATAAGACTTATACTTATGTTTTGCCTTAAAAAGTATCCGTTACTCGACTTTCCCCTAAACTTTTTTCAAATTTCAACAGGAGGCAAATGAAGGATATTGTTTGAAGCCATAAATAGTTAACTTTATATTTTTGGTTTTTTAGCATCCAAATAAGAGTCTTGGTGCTGCCATCTAGTGTGGCAGAAACTAGACGTCCAAATTAACATGGCCAACGGTATCTCATCAATTGTGGTGGTCCTGAAGAGTAGATACCACTTCTGGAGAACGCACTAGGTCTACTCATGTGTGCGCACTTGTGCAGCTCATTGGAAATAAAAATATTTTTGGTCTTCAATAGTTTCAAATATTATTTGCCAATATATTCGACACTTAAAAAAATTATCAATCAATTGAATTAAATGTTTCTATATGTAGGACTGCTCAGGCTTCGCCCGAGCATATTCCAAACTGTATCGATTTTAAGATCGACGAGGTTTTTTCAAAACCTCATCTATTTTTAGACTTCCTGGACATTTTTGGACTTATGGAATTGGTCTAATTGGGATGGACCTCTTGGGGATTAGAAACAACAACAACAAATGTTTCTATTGAAAAGCTATAACTGAGTAAAAGATTTCAATGAATATTGATTAAAGAATAAGATTAAATTTACATTTTATTATTAAATGGTAGAATACCTGCCATTTTGGCATTTCTTTGAAAATAAGAAACCGTCTTTATATATTTAGAAATACCATTTCTAAACATATTTCATAGTTCAAATCAAAATCATAAAATAAGTTATTTGAAGTAAGAAAAAATCATCTAAAATAATATTTTTAAGTACTTTAACTTTTCCTGCTCCTGTAGCTATAGCTTTTTTTTTTCATTGAACTGAATCGATATTTTTTTAATACACATTGATTTGCTTTGAAGTAAAAATTTTATTTTTGCTTATTATTATACCCTTTGCTTATTATTAGTTATTATTTCCTTTCTTCTAGAAATAAAAGAGCTCAAATACTGTCAAAGTCTTATCGTTTTTGAAGTATGATAAAAATGAAAACTATTTTTATCAATAAATGTAGAGAATGTAAATATTGTTTCTCAGTGACTGTTTATTTCAAGATAAAACCTCCTAAAAAAACTATGAACTTCAAAAATTGTGATAAGTTAAATGTTTAATTTAAAAACTCGAATACATGCGTTACATATCGTTATCATGCATTATATGTTACAATAATTGAGTGAAGTAATAAATGTCTTTTAAAACCTAAGGAATACATAAAATTCAAATTTATACTTTACACATTTAAGACAAAAATTACAACAGTATACGTATTTACTTAAACGTGTCAGTGCTAGTTAATAAGGCTAATTACAAAACCTTATACAGTAATAAACATTAATCAACATTGCTTTCTGAGAGAGGCTAAGAGTCTTGTGTTGGCGGCTCTCTCTCTCTTTATATATATATATATA